GAGCTTCAGGTCAGTTTCAACTACCTAGTGAGACCCTGTCTCAAAAAACAAAAAAAAAAGTGGGTTGGTGTGGGGGTGGGGTGGGGGGGTGGCAGCAGGGATTTAGCTCAGTGGTGTTGCGCCTGCCTGGCAATCTCAAGGTCCAGAGTTTGATCCCTGGTACCCCCCCAAAAAAAGTCAGGGGGGCACTCAGTGCTGAGTCCAAACCCAGGACAGGACAGGGACAGTGCTGAACTCTGCTCACATATGCTCCAAGCCACTGTGCGGCCTTGGCTGGGACCCTGGCTGCATCTGCGTCAGCCATGACGCCTGGGCCCAGTGTCAAGGGCTCCAGCTGGTGACCTTGTCCTCCCTAAGAAGGGCCGTCCTTTCCGGGTATCAGTTACCCCACTCCGCCTCAGCACTGCCTTTGCATTCTTCATAGGAAAAAAAAAAAATCTGCCAAGCGTGGTGGCGCACTCCTGTCATCCCAGCACTCGGGAGGCTGAGCCAGGAGGATCGCTGCGCTACGCAGTGAGTTCAGGGCCAGCCTGGACTATAAAGGGAGACCCTGCCTCAAAAAACAGAAAAAAAGAACCTACTCCTTTATTTTTAATCTTGGCCAATACACTTACCCTGAGGGTTGTGACCACACCAGGCGTAGCTGCAGGGTGTCAGGGGGTCCGACCAGCCACCTCAGGACTGGAACTGTTCCGGGACACCTGTTCCCGTCCCTCTGTCCTGGCCTCACCATGCTGTCCCTTTGTGATCTGATGCATTTCTTTTTTCTTTTGATACCAGGGCCCACACCTGGGCTCTTGCACTTGTGAAGCAGGCACCGGAAGTACTGAGTTAAATCCCCGGCCCCCTCTGTGATCTGATGGATCCAGGGGCCTCCCTGGAGTGGGGTCACTGAGCACGGCACCAGCTCCTGCCACAGCAAGGTTCAGTGTCCTTATTCTTCAGGGCCAAATAGTATTCCGCCGCATTGTGTGCCCAGCCCCGACTACATATTACAAGCGGCTCTCGAGACCCAGCGCTCCGTTTCTGGGGATGGCTGGATGGTGTAATTGTGGTGTTTGACTCATTTTCCTGGTGGGGTAGGAATGGATCTGGGCTTCCCATGTGTGCACCCCTGAGCCGCGCCCGTGTCTGGTGAACAGCTTGAAGAACAGCTGTGCTGTTATCCTCAGAAGCAACACCATTTTCCCGTTTTCCTTTTTTAAAATTTGGCAGTGCTGGGGATGGAAGCCAGTGCCTTTGCACTGAACTACACCCTCTGCCGTATTTATTTATTTACATGTGTGTGTGTGTTGTCCAGGCTGGGCTTAAACCTGTGATCCTCCCGCCTCAGCCTCCCAGAGTCCTGGGGTGACAGCTGCCTTTCACAGTATGAATGCTGAATAGTTAGATGGTGCCTCAGGGAGTCAGGAGCAGGAAACGCCTCAGTCCGTGGCTGGCTGAGGCCGCGTCCCAGCTGTGTTCATCCTCACCGGGGAGCTCGCTGACCGTCACGCTGGGGACCGGAAGTGTTTCCGACTGTTTCTGAGGATTGAGGGTGTCTGCATATACATAGTGGGGCTGGGGGTGGGACTCGGCCTTCTGTGTTCTGTGCCTGACCGAAGCCAGCAACACGGCGCCGCCGGGGGCTTACGGGGCGTCAGGTCTCCCCAAAGGCGAGTGTAGAGCATTTCCATGTGGGTGGGTGGCAGGATGAAAGCCCTTCCTGAGGGTCCTCTCTGGGGCTTCTAAAACCAGCCCGCAGGAGGACTTCTCCGCAGGCTCCAGGCGCCCGGAGCTTTCTCTTTGAGGTCCTGGGACCAGAGCCAGGGCCACTGAGCCCCGAGCTGCTCTGACCTCATCCTGGGAGGCAGGGTCTCGCTGTGACTTGGCCCCCATAGCTGGGATCACAGGGGACGCCCCGGCCTGCAGATGAGGGGGTCGCGTGTGCGAGACGGGTTGGCCGGATCTGGGAAGATGGGTGGTGGTGACTGACAGCTCCCCAGGTGCTGGGGCTGCAGTCCGAGTCCCGGCCACAGGCGGCAGGAAGAGGTGACCGTCTGGGCCGGGTGGAGGGAAAGGGTTGGCAGCTGGCTTGGGCTGCAGGTGGTGACACGGGCAGATGAGAATCAAGTGGCCGCAGGTGGCTTTTTCCCATACCTCAGAGTGCCAGTGCTCTGGCTGAAAAGTTATTTTAGGAGAAACCTGGGAGACCATGGTGGAAACGAGCAGCCACCTCTTTTGCTGACCTAAGACATGGGTGCAGAATCGGGAAGTGTTTGTCTCTAGTTTTTTGTTTTGTTTTGAGACAGGGTCTCACTATGTAGAGACTGACCTGGGACTCACTGTGTAGCCCAGGCTGGTCTTGAACTCACAGCGATCCTCCTGCCTCAGCCTCCAGAGTGCTGGGATGACAGGCGTGTGCCACCACGCCCGGCCTGTCTCCAGTTTTGAGACAAGAGGCTGTGTGTGTAGTTCAGGATGGTCTCATGATCCTCCTGCTTCATCCTCCCAAATTCTGGGATCACAGGTGTGTACCACTGTGCCTGGCTAAGAAACAGGTGTTTTGAAAATTTTGTTTTTGGTACCGGGGATTGAATTCAGGACCTTGTGCTTGCGAGGCAGGTGGCGGAACCACGGAGCTAAATACCCAGCCCTAAAATTTTGTTTTTGAGAGAGGGTCTCACTACTTAGCCCAGGCTGGCCTGTAACTCACGGCAATCCTCCTGTCTCACCCTTGCGAGTCATGGGATTACAAGGTGCGCCACCAGACGCAGTTTAAAAGGGGAATCGTAAAGCAGACAGGTGAGCAGGGCCTCAGGAGCTGAAGAGGCTGCTCTGCCTCGCAGCCACAGTTTGGACAGTGGGTTTGTGTTGTCCATGGGGATGTGGCAGCGACACGGCCGTGGGCAGTCGGCCGCCATCCTGTGGCTGAGCCATGGCTGCCCCCGTGCCGGTGTCCCGCAGGTGTCTGGCCCTCTGCTCCGAAGCTGAGATCGGAGTTGAGTGGGGAACCGCGATACGGCCTGGTGGTTGGAGGGCTGGGGTCTGCGGTGGCTCACGGTGTGCAGAGGCTCAGTCCAAGGCTGGCTGACAGCTTGGCGGCCCAGCCCAGGAAGCAGGGAGGGAGGGAGGAGAAAGGGGAGTTGGGGGCGCTGGCCCTGTCTTTCTTTCTGAGTCGCCTGGGCAGGGTTGGACTTGCAGTCTTCCTGCCGCAGCTTCCCGAGTAGGTGGAATTACAGGTGTGTGCGCAGCGCTACGGGGAGGGCGGCAGCCTCTGGCTTTAAGGCTGTGTCCAGCGACCCACCCTCAGCGGTCGTGGGTGACACCTCTGCTCACGGAGACGGCACCGATGCCTCCCAGGCCCCTCCCGCACCCACCACTCCCTGCGCAGGGGCCAGGCAGACACGGGCCGCGCTCGGTTTGCTGGTTTAATTTATTACTGCTTGACATCCAGTGACACTGACGTACCCGCCGGCCGCACCCGCGAGCCCAGCCTGCCCAGAGGCGCAGTACGAGGGGTGGGCGGCCACACATGCACCACGCTGCACTACGGTGACCTGGTGCTGCGACAGCGCTGCCCCTCTGCTGTCGCCACTGCCGCGGGGCCTGCTCTAAACAGTTAATGCCTTGACCCACGCCGCTGCCGGGCCGGGCCACACACGGTCCTACAGCTCTGTCGCATAAATACGGAGTTCGAGTCTATACAGTTCCCCAGGCTGAACTACGTCTGCTGCTACCCGTTACGCTAAGGGCTACGCCGGCTCTCGATGGAGACGCGGAATGTCGGCTCAGTCCTCCTCGCTGCCACTTCCTGAGCGGTCCTGAGGGGACAGGAGAGGGCGTGAGTCACCGCTGCCGCTCCACACCCCGCTGGAGCCCACCCCGGGGCATGGGTCCCGCTGGCCCCGTCCTCCCTGGCCTTTGCCGTTCTGAAGCATCCTGGCAGGGCGCACACCACGGTGACACTGACAACCCAGATCCCAGGCCAGGGACTTAGCTCAGTGGTGCCCATCTGCCTGAAGGGCAAAAGTTCCCCAGTTCAATCCCCAGTACCAGAAGAAAAGAAAAAAGAAAGAAGAAAATTGTATTTGCCAGGCATGGTGGTTCACACCTGTAATCCCAGCACTGTGGAGGCTGAGGCAGGAGGATTATCCCGAGTCTAAGGCCAGCCTGGGCTACATATTTTGCAGTTGTGAGACCCTCTCAGAACAATGAAACGGACCGGAGGGCCACCTCTGCTATATGGTCAGGGCGTAAGCCCTGCAAGGTCAGACCACTCCCCAGGACTTGATCGCCGCTGCCGTAACTCCTGGCACTGACCAAGTTCCGCGGGCCCTGGCCCTGAGCTGCAGGCACCGGGGATGCGGCCCTGGAGTCCCCCACAGCCCCGGGAACCGCCCGCCTCCCGGCCCTCACCTCCTCCTGCTCCTCCTCACTGTCGTCGTCACTCACAACCGGCTT